CTGGAGAGGCAGCGGCTGGAGCAGCAGCTGCTCGTCCTGCGCCACAAGGAAAAGAGCAAAGAGAGTAAGGGTGGGGGGCATTGGGCGGTGGTGCCCGGGCCCGGCCCCCAGCACCCAGCTCAGTGGTGCCCCCCCACAGGTGCCATCGCCAGCACCGAGGTAAAGCTGCGGCTGCAGGAATTCCTTCTGTCCAAGTCGAAGGAGCCCACACCAGGCGGCCTCAACCATTCCCTCCCTCAGCACCCCAAGTGCTGGTAATGGCGGGGCTCGGTTCTGGGGTGGCCCCTAGGAGACGCCCAGCCCCAGCTCCTTCCTGCCCACCCAGGACCGGTCCTTGTCCCTGTGCCCAAGGGGCCTCTCCTAACTCTCCTCGGCTGGGCTGGGCGCGGGGTGACTGGTCTGCCTCCCCCAGGGGAGCCCACCACGCTTCTTTGGACCAGAGTTCCCCTCCCCAGAGCGGCCCCCCCGGGACACCTCCCTCCTACAAGCTGCCTCTCCTGGGGCCCTACGACAGCCGTGATGACTTCCCCCTCCGCAAGACAGGTTCGAGGTGGCCCTGTGCCGGCATGCAGGGGGTGGGCGGTGGGCAGAGGTGTGGCCGTGGGGGCCAGGCTCTGCTGTGAGCGGCCACTCTGAGTCCCCACGCCCCTTAGCCTCGGAACCCAACCTGAAAGTACGGTCAAGGCTAAAGCAGAAGGTGGCCGAGCGGAGAAGCAGCCCGCTGCTGCGCCGCAAGGATGGGACCGTTATCAGCACCTTCAAGAAGAGAGCTGTGGAGATCACGGGTGCCGGCTCTGGGGGTGAGGGCTGCCTGCAGGTCATGTCCTGGAGGGCCTGGGGATGGGGTGGCCCAGAGCAGGCCCCGGTGACAGCTGCTTCTCCTGTAGTGTCGTCTGTGTGTAACAGTGCGCCTGGCTCCGGCCCCAGCTCTCCCAACAGCTCCCACGGCACCATCGCCGAGAACGGCTTCACGGGCTCTGTCCCCAACATCCCCACCGAGGTAGGACTGGCCGAGGCCGGGGCCCCAGGCAAGTGTGCAGCCCAAATGACCCTGCTGAGGCCGGGCCTCCCTCAGCCTGCTCTTGCCCCACAGATGCTCCCACAGCACAGGGCCCTGCCTCTAGACGGCGCCCCCAGCCAGTTCAGCCTCTACACATCCCCCTCGCTACCCAATATCTCGCTCGGGCTGCAGGCCACCGTCACCGTCTCCAACTCGCGCCTCACGGTGAGTGGGGAGATGGGAGCCAGGCCCAGGGATGGGTGGGTCAGGGCGGCACGGCCGCTCTCACCTCCCACCCCCTAGGCCTCCCCGAAGCTGGCCACACAGCAGGAGGCCGAGAGGCAGGCCCTCCAGTCTTTGCAGCTGGGCAGCCCACTGACTGGCAAGTTCATGAGTACCTCCTCCATCCCGGGCTGCCTGCTGGGTGTGGCGCTGGAGGGCGACGCGGGAACCCATGGGCACGCATCCCTGCTACAGCATGTGCTGCTGCTGGAGCAGGCCCGGCAGCAGAGCACCCTCCTCGCAGGTGAGTGGGTGCGGGGTCCCGCCCATTCCTGTCCAGTGGGGACAGCCATGCTGGAGGGGTTAGGGAGAGCCAGGCATGGGGGTACATGCCATCTAGCATTCGGGAGGCTGAGGCAGCAGGCTCACCAGGAGTTAGAGGCAGCCTGGTCTGCATAGTGAGACTGTCTCACACAGGGAAGGGAGGGGAAGGGAATGGCAAGCAGTTAGCTTTATGCCTCCATTTAAGTCGCACTCAGGCCGGGCGTGGTGGCGCACACCTGTAGTCCCAGCACTTGGGAGGCCGAGGCAGGAGGATCACCGAGGCTTTGAGGCCAGCCTGGGGTGCATAGTGGGTTCAAGGCCAGCCTGAACTGCACAGTGCAACCCTGCCACAAGAACCAACGAAGTAAATAAGTAAATAATATTCAGAATATCGTCTTGATGTGTACCACCTGTGCTTACTGCTGGGGATTTTGCCTGTTCACACTGAGTATGGGATCCACTGTGCAGTGCAGACAGGCTGTTCCAAGGACTTGCGTGGCCTGGGGGTCCCGGCCCAGTCGGAGTGGTTGGGGTGCCCATCTCTTCCCACACATGGGGTAGCCCAGGACCTCATGTGCGCCTGGAGGGACTTGGGCAGCAGGCGTGGGCACCAGGCCCAAGGCCCCGTGGAGCGAGACGGCTCACCTGCCTCCCTCCCCAGTGCCGCTGCACGGGCAGTCCCCCCTGGTGACGGGTGAACGCATGGCCACCAGCATGCGGACGGTGAGCAAGCTGCCCCGGCACCGGCCACTGAGCCGCACGCAGTCCTCGCCGCTGCCTCAGAGTCCCCAGGCCCTCCAGCAGCTTGTCACGCAGCAGCAGTTCCTGGAGAAGCAGAAGCAGCAGCAGCTGCAGCTGGGCAAGGTATGGGCAGCAGGGATTTGGCTGTCTTTGTTTCTTGGCTTTTTGAGGCAGGGTCTCGCTATGTAGCCCAGGCTGACCTGGAACTAATGGTCCTCCTGCCTCAGCCTCCTAGTGCTGGGACGAGAGGTCTGTGTTCCCTGCCTTCTGCCCCCAGATCCTCACTAAGACGGGAGAGCTGCCCAGGCCACCTACCACACACCCTGAGGAGACTGAGGAGGAGCTCACAGAGCAGCAGGAGGCCTTGCTGGGTGAGGGAACCCTGGCGGTGCCCCGGGAAGGCTCCACGGAGAGCGAGAGCACCCAGGAGGACCTGGAGGAGGAGGAGGAGGACGAGGAGGACGAGGTGGACGGCTGCGTCCAGGTCCAGGACCTGGCAGGCGACAGCGGCCCAGAGGAAGGCCCTGACCTGGAGGAGCTCGGTGCCGGCTACAGAAAGGTGCCTTTCCACCCCATCCCAAGTGCGCCATGTGTGCGCCCTGCCCCACCCTACCTGCTGCTGTACGGGGCACTCCATTCACACAGGACCCAGCGGCTGACTCATCCCGCCCCCACCCCACTGCTTTCCTCAGGGTTCTGTGGTGACTCACAGCCCCCAGGGACCACGCAGGCCCGGAGTATTCCTGGGAGCCCAGGGCTGGGCTGCGAGGGGGAGTTGGGGCACCTGCCCTCCTCACCCGCCTTGCCCCACCCGTGTCCCAGCTCTTCGCAGATGCCCAGCAGCTGCCGCCCCTGCGCATGTACCAGGCACCCCTCAGCCTGGCTGCTGTGCCCCACCAGGCCCTGGGCCGCACCCAGTCCTCGCCCGCTGCAACAGGGGGTGTGAAGAGCCCCCCAGACCCGCCCGCCAAGCTCCTCTTCACCACTGGTGAGCGCCCACCTTCGTCCTCTGCTCCTGCGGCTCGTGGGTGGCGCTCAGGGTGGCTGCCTCTGCCACCTGCACTGGGGCCAGGGTCGGCTGAGTGGTCCATGCCCTGTGGGTCCTGTGGGTGTGCAGGGCAGCGAAGGGGCGGGCGGCAGCAGCTGACAGGGTCCCTGCCCAGGTGTGGTGTACGACACGTTCATGCTGAAGCACCAGTGTGTGTGCGGGAACACGCATGTCCACCCCGAGCACGCCGGCCGCATCCAGAGCATCTGGTCACGGCTGCAGGAGACTGGCCTGCTGGGGAAGTGCGAGGTGAGCACCCGGCGCCCCGCTCCACTCCCCTCTCCTCCCGTTCCGGCCAGCAGCAGGGCAGAGTCCAGGGTGGCCCAGGGGCCCTGGCCCAGGGTCACAGTGCAGAGCCCCACGCAGCCTCTCGCCGCCCTGCAGCGGGTGCGGGGCCGCAAGGCCACCCTGGACGAGATCCAGACGGTGCACTCAGAGTTCCACACGCTGCTCTACGGGACCAGCCCGCTCAACCGGCAGAAGCTGGACAGCAAGAAGCTGCTCGGTGAGGATGAGGATGGCTCCTGCCGTGGTGGGCACAGCTGTGGTCTGGCCCGGAGGGCAGGTGGCAGGCTGAACCAGTGGGCATGACGTGGCAACTCTGACCTTGTTCCCCACAGGCCCCCTCAGCCAGAAGATGTACGCCGTGCTGCCCTGTGGGGGCATTGGGGTGAGTGGGCTGTGTGCCCTTGGGGTTGGGTGGGCAGGCTTGGGGCCCACACCACCCATCCTGAGGCGCCGCCCCACTGCAGGTGGACAGCGACACTGTGTGGAACGAGATGCACTCCTCCAGCGCTGCACGCATGGCCGTGGGCTGCCTGCTGGAGCTGGCCTTCAAGGTGGCCGCGGGTGAGCTCAAGGTGAGGGGGCGAAGGCCTCACATCCCAGAGGCTGGGGCGGTGGCAGATGTGGCCTCCCCTCCCCAAGGCTCTGTCCTCCGCAGCCTCAGCTCTTGGGAGGCTAGAGTAGGGTGGGGACAGACCCTGGACAGCCAGAGGTTAAGGCACAAAGGGACCAACACTGGTAATGGTGCTCAGGACCTGTGTGGGGCCTGGGGCAGCAGTGCCCTATGGTGTCCTGACCTCCATGTGCCTGTCTGACCCGTGTCCCCTTCCTTGCCTGGCTTCCACTCCTGTTCCTGTGCCCTCCCCTGCCTGGCCACCTTTCGTCCCTGTGTCCGGCCTTTGTTTCTCTGCCCGCGCCCTTTCAGAATGGCTTTGCCATCATCCGGCCCCCAGGACACCACGCCGAGCAGTCCACGGCCATGTGAGTACCCGTCTGCCCGTCCTGCCGCGCAGCCCTGTCCACACTGTCCGAGGTGACGCTGCCCTTCTCCCCACCCACAGGGGATTCTGCTTCTTCAACTCCGTAGCCATCACGGCCAAGCTGCTTCAGCAGAAGCTGAACGTGGGCAAGGTCCTCATCGTAGACTGGGTAGGCGCGGCCCCGGCCCCACGACCTTCTGCTGGGTCACCAGCCCTCCGTGACTCCCCAGGGTGCCTCCCCAGCAGCCCCTCAGCCCAGGGCTCTGCAGCCTGGAGCAGTAGGGACAGTGCTGCAACCACTGCTAGATGTCACCCTCTGCCTTCGCCCTGGACCCTGGGCTGACCTGGCTGACTGGCACCTGACCTGGCTCCCTGAGGGGTGGAGGCCACGGTTATCTGCCTGAGGCCCACCCCCAGGCGCCCGCCAAGCCTGCAGAGCTGGGGACACTGCACCCTGCTCCTGTTACTGTGCTTGGGTGCCTTGCCAGGACCAATCCCTAGCACGGGCAAAATCTGCAGAGCCTAATTTTGGCTTAAAAATTCATGTAAATGCCAGGCATGGTGGTACCTGCCTGTACTTCTAGCTGCTGGGGAGGCAAGGCAAGGTTGCCATGAGTTTGACAGGGCTAGCCTGGACTGCAGAGTGAGGCCCTGCCTGAAATAATAAAAATTTTGAGGGCTGGGGATGTGGCTCAGGGGTGGAGCGCTTGCCTGGCAGGCACCAGAACCTGGGTTCCTTCCCCAGAACCGCGGGAAAAAGAGAGGATGGCGGATGTGGGCCCCCCAGGCCTCTGTCCCCCACTCTGCCCCGCGTCACCGCGTGGCCGGCGCAGTGGGACCCGGCCCAGCAGGTGTGCAGGGCGGCGGGTCAGGCGTGTCCCGTCCCTCAGGACATCCACCACGGCAACGGCACGCAGCAGGCCTTCTACAGCGACCCTTCTGTGCTCTACATCTCGCTGCACCGCTATGACAACGGCAACTTCTTCCCGGGCTCCGGGGCTCCCGAGGAGGTGCGGCCGGGCTCTGGGAGGCGGGGTGCGGCGCCCGGTTCCTGCCTGAGAGTCACGTCTGCCCTTCCTCCCTCCTGCCGGCCGCCAGGTTGGCGGGGGCCCCGGCGCGGGGTACAACGTGAACGTGGCCTGGACGGGTGGCGTGGACCCGCCCATCGGGGACGTGGAGTACCTGACAGCCTTCAGGTAGGGCGAAGGGGCGGGTGTGGGCGTGGTCCTGGCTGCAGGGCGGGGCGGGGGGCGCGGCCTGGGCGGTGGGGCGTGGCGGGGGCGTGGTCCCAGCCGAGGGCGTGCTTGCAGGACCGTGGTCATGCCCATTGCCCACGAGTTCGCGCCGGATGTGGTCCTCGTCTCCGCGGGGTTCGACGCTGTGGAAGGACACTTGTCCCCTCTGGGTGGCTACTCTGTCACCGCCAGATGTGAGCGCTGGGGCCCTGGGCGGGAAGGGTGGAGTAGGGAAGGGCCACTGCTCCAGGGTGGTAGGGATCTGCCCTGTGATTTTAGGGGGACTGGGAACTTTTAAATTATTTTTTGTCTTTTACTTTATTTGGGGGGGAAGTTTTGAGACAGAGTCTTGCTATGTAGTTCGGGCCAGCCATAAACTCTCAGTGATCCTCCTGCCTCAGCCTTGTGCATGGTGGGATGGCAGGCGTGCCCCATGCCTGGCAGTGGTGTTCCTTCTGTGGTGTGTGGATTTTTTTCTGGGCTGACTTCACCCCTGACAGAGCTTTGGCCCCGACCTTGGCTTGTGCCTCAGTGGGGTTCCAACCTGCTGTATTTCGTGCTGTCTGCCCACCCGGCTTTCCATTCATTTTCTCCACTCGCACTGATTCTCTCTCTCCTCACTCTGCCAAGGCTTTGGCCACCTGACCAGGCAGCTGATGACGCTGGCGGGGGGCCGGGTGGTGCTGGCCCTGGAGGGGGGCCACGATCTGACCGCCATCTGTGATGCCTCTGAGGCCTGTGTCTCCGCCCTGCTCAGCGTGGAGGTGAGGTATGGGCCAGCCAGGGTGTCTGGGGCAGGCCGCCTGTCCGGACGCTCACGCCCCCTCTCCCCCCACCAGTTGCAGCCCTTGGATGAGGCCGTGCTACAGCAGAAGCCCAGCATCAATGCAGTGGCCACGCTCGAGAAAGTCATCGAGATCCAGGGTGTGTGTGGACGAGCGGGACCCCAGCCTGGTGCGCTTGGGGCTGGGGCTGGAGGGCCCTGACCCCGCCCGTGCGCCCCACCTGTACCTACAGGCAAACACTGGAGCTGCGTACAGAGGTTCTCCGAGGGGCTGGGCCGCTCCCTGTGGGAGGCGCAGGCGGGGGAGGCGGAGGAGGCAGAGACTGTGAGCGCCATGGCGCTGCTGTCCGTGGGCGCCGATGTGGACACAACATCTAGCCAGGACATGGGCCCTTTGGAAGCAATGGTACAGATTCTGTGGAAGAGACAGGGTACTGTGTACCTGGCCTTGAAGGGGGCCCCCATGCCGCCTCTCAGGCCCATCTGTCCCGCAGACCGGCGGAGGAACCCATGGAGCAGGAGCCTGCCCTGTGACCCCCGCCCTGGCCCAGCCTTCATCATTGTGATTTTGTTTATTTTTTCTATTAAAAACAAAAAGTCACACATTACACAGCGTGTGCGTGTGGGTCTCTCAGCCTCAGCCCCTGCCCCACATCGCACCCACACCTGTGTCCTGCGCATTCCTCCCCTGCCCGCAGCTCTGGGTAGGCGCCAGTGAGGCGGAGCCCAGGGTTGGTGCCATGGCTTCGGCCTTAATTCCAGTCCTACTGCAGCCTCAGGACCAGCTACCCACCATACCCTGTGTGCCCACGGCTCTATAAGCCCTCCTCTGCAGGCTGTGGGCCAGGCTGGTCCTGGTCTGACTCCCACCCTCCCTGCCCTCTTCAGGTGCTGGCGAGAGGCAGCGGTGGGCCCTGCAGGAGGGCAGGCTCAGCTCCCTGGTGCGCCAGGATGGCAAGGGCCCCTCTTCCAGGTGTGCACCTGGCCTCTGCTTCGGGGAGCGCCTTCAGCTGCAGGAAACCAAAGATAGCAAGTGGCCCAGGGCCGACCCGCACCACAGTGCTCCCTCTTCCTTCCCCTGCAGGCTCGGGATGAGGCCAGGTCAGGGGTGACCCAGGGTCTCAGCCTTGCTTTGGCCCTTGGCTGTGACTCCCATGCAGTGTTCTGTGACCTGTTGCCCTGTGGGTCCCAGTATAAATAAACTCGGTTCCGGAGTCTCCTGGGGCCAAAGTCTCTGGGATCTTAACAGAGTACGTGTCAGAAACACCCCTCTTCCGAACCCTGGACCAGAGCCACCTTGGAAAAGAGGCTGGGGTGGAACAGTACACAGGGTTCTTTCTGCCCACAGATGCCCACTCTTGTCACCTCAGCGGCTCCTCCGTCCTCTTGACTCTGCTTGTGTAGTTGCAGGGCAGGTGTGGTGGGCCCCACAGGCAGGTCAGTGAGGTGTGAGACCCCGAAAGGGACCCAAACATGGTGCACACCTGTGACTCTAGCACTCAGGAGGCTGAGGTAAGATTTCTGAGAGTTCAAGGCCAGCCTGAACTACAAACTGAGACTTCTCAAAAAAACAAAGGAATCCCAAATTTAAGGACTTTATTGGTGCCCCCCGCCCACCCCCAGAGTTACAGGAACAGGAGGACTTGCTCCCTTTGCTTGAGTCCTGGAGGGAGACAGGAGACCCTCCTAGGGGAAGAGCATGTACTGGGAGGGGACCCTGGGCTGGCCTGCATGGGGGCTGTGCTCTGGGGTGAGTCAAGAGGAGTGGGCGGGTGGGGCCTGAGGGCTGAGGGTGAGGACCAACCAGGGCACCAGGGCCAGGACCAGGCAGGGCCACAGCGTGTACTGCAGGAAGTTGAAGATGTAGAAGAGGCTGGCCTGGGGCGGATGGCCCAGCCAGCTCAGGACGGCCAGCAGCCCCAGAGCCAGCGCCAGGCAGGCCGCCTTCTGACCTCCACCCAGCCGTGCCCGGCGGATCTGGACATAGCAGGGTGAGTGCAGGGCGATGCCCAGGCCCAGGGCAGCCCCCGAGTCACGGCTCAGCGAGGCGAAGGGCCGGCTGTCGATGTGCACCCACTCCGGCCGCTCGCACCACTTGGAGGCCAGGTCGATGGACCTGTGGAGAGCAGATTGAGGGCAGTGGACGCAGGGCTGCTGTGACCAGGCAGGGCTCATGTCAGAAGACAGGCCGTGGTCCTTGCTCAGCCACTGTGAACCCAGGACCCACTGGCCCTGACCTCAGCTGGTCACAGAGGCCGGACTCACCAGGAAAGGTCCAGGCCCAGCGTGACAAGGGTCCAGTAGATGAGGCTGGCACCCAGCATGAGGGCCAGTGCGGTCAGCCCGTAGAAGCTGAGCTCCCTCTCCATGGGCACTCGGGGGGCCATCAGCCAGCCCAGGGCCACACCTGGGGCAGGGGAGGGGTGTCAGAGATGGGACCGGACCGGCGAGGCAACGGGAGATGGGGCCCAGCACCCATCCCGGCTCACCAGTCACCAGCCCAGCCAACACCTGGTGTGGGAAGTGTGCCAGGAGGAAGATCCGGGACAGGCCGATGGCCAGCAGGAAGGTGCAGTAGGCCAGGCTGGGCACAGCCCGCACCCAGCGGCTGTGGAGACAGATGATGCTCCTGGGGTCCCCTGCAGAGCCACCCCACCCTGGAGTCACACCCTGCTTCTAATGGTTACCTGTGTGTCCGGGTGGCCACCTGGGAGGACAGCGCCGTCATCACGGGCCACAGCGCTGCCCCTGTGATCATGCAGTGTCCGGAAGGGCTGCCTGTGGGGACAGGGGCTTGGGGTGAGGCTGGGGCAGAGCCACGGGCTGGTGATGCCAGACCCAGCTGCCTCTGGGGCTAAGCAAGCTTTGGGGGGGTCACAGTGATTGGGTATCTCCACCCAGTCCAGGCTGTCCTTGAACTCCAGACCCTCCTACCTTAGCCTCCAAAGGGCTGGGATCCCAGGTACACACCATGCCCGATGAGCCACCAGCACTGCCAGCTGCTCCCTCTGGTCGAGCTGATTCCTCCTCATACCACTCAAGCTCCTGCCTGTAGGCTTCTGCCTGACCCTGCCTCTTGGTGTCTTTATTTTTTCACCCAGTGGGGACTGAGCCCTAATATACTAAGCTGCATCCCAGCCCTTTTTAAATTTTTGAGAGAGGTTTCTCACTAAATTGCCCGGACCAGGTTCCAACTTGTGATCCTCCTGCGTCAGCCTCCCAGAGTGCTGGATTGCAGATGTGCACCACCACGCCTGGCCTCCCAGCTCCATTCTGTACAATGTGGGCAGCGAGCACGTGGCATGGGTGCCTTCCTGAGGTTTGTTTTCTGGGCTGGTAGCTAAGAGCCCACCTTGGTGGGGACATTTGAAGGAACCTAGCCCTGAGGGAAGAAGGAGTTCTGCTCCTGCCCACCTGGGCCAGTTTCACACGAAGAGGAGAACTGGTGAACCTGGGCTGGAGCTTGGCTGTAGTACCCCGACTCGTGGACCCACCAGAAGGGCCGGTCTCCAAAGAGAAACCTGGAGAAGAGAAGAAGCAAGTGGATACTCCACGGGGCCCGAGGTCAGGGCGGGAGAAGGCGAGACCCAGCAGGGCCCTGGGAGGACCCTGGAGGCCCAGGGTCAGAAAGGGTCTGTTTCTTATACACAAAAAGAAAGGGTCTGTTTTTGGCTGTTACTTTGCTGTGGTTTCCCACCTTGGAACAGGAAAAAGCGCATTAGTTTTCAAAAGTGATACTGAGGCAAGAAACTGTGCATGTAACCTGGGTGTGGTGGCGTACACCTATGATCCCAGCACTTGGGAGGCAGGAGGATCACCGTGAGTTCAAGGCCAGCCTGGGCTACATAATGAGCGAGAGGCCAACCTGAATTACAGAGCAAGACCCTAGCTCAAAAACAACACAAAACTGCCTATGTGTGTGTGTGTGTGTGTGTGTGTGTGTGTGCGCGCGTGCATGTGTGCACACACATGGCTCTGCGACACTCAGACACCCCACTCCAATGTACCCCCATCTAGGGCCAGCCCTTCTCCCCCCGAAAGCCCAGAAGCTGACCTTCCCTGCTCCCGACTCCTCCTGCTACTCACTCAGTCCCCAACCCTACCGAATCACCCAGGCCCGAATTATTTAGTGCAGCTTCTCAGGCCTAGCAACAGACAGAGGAACCTAGAAAAACCTTCCCTGGCCAGCAGATGTCGGCTGGGCTCTGGGAACCACACAGACCAGACTGTGGTGGCCGGAGAGAAGGCAGAGCACACAGGCAGGAAGAGGTGCTGGGAGGGAGACTCCAAGGGACCTGGCCTTCCCTACCCTCAGACAGGCCAAGTGCTGGCCATGCAAGCGCAGGGGCTGGGTGGCAGGAGGCACGGGAGCCTGCAGGACAGCAGGGATGCGCAGCAGTGGAGAAGGTGCTTCCTTGCCGGACGCTGGTCCAGCCTGCCCTTCCTTCCGGGTCAACAGAGGCTGAGGACAAGGGGGGTGAGGCTTCAAGCCTGGCAGGTCCTTCTGTACCCAGAAGAGCACGCAGGTGGCACAGAGCGATGACCCCAGATGCAGGGCCTCCACCCACCTGCCCCGAGTCCTGCTTCAGTCTGTGTGAGGGAAGAAAGGGAAGAGTGTCCCAGGAACCTTGGTAAAATGCAAGCTCTGATTCAGAGGATCTGGCCTGGGGCCCAAGCTGCTGCGTTCTAGCAACCCTTCTAGTACCGCCTATGCCACTGGGCAGACAGATTCGAGGCAGGCTGTGCATGGCCTGGAATGAAGCCTGCTGCTGCTTCGCGCGTGTGCGTGGTACTGGGGTTGAACCCAGGGCCTCCTACAAGTAGGCAAGCACCCAGGACAGAGCTACATCCCCAGCCCTTTGTATTTTGGGGGAATGCCTGGGCCTGCCTGGGCCTTTAGGTCCTCCTGCCTCAGCCTCCTGCTTGCTGGGATTAGAGGCCTGCGCCCCCGCCCAGCGCACACATGCCTAACAATGGCGTCAGGCGAGGGAACAGATGACTGAAAACTTGAGAAGTGGGACTCTTGGCAGGCGTCTGCGAGGGTGAGCGCGGCGGGACGGAGGAGTCTGCGCCTGAAGGGCCGCACTGGGGCCACTGCTGTCTGGGCGGGCCCGCCGGTCTCACCACTTGAAGACGAGGTTGAGCCACTCGGAGACCAGACTGGTCCACAGCACGGCGACGCCCACGCGGCGGGAGGCGTAGTAGGCCGCGGGGAAGTAGAGCAGGAACAGGTTCTTGGGGTCGCCCAGGAAGGTGACCCAGAGCCACACGCCCTCCAGCCACGGCAGCCGCGTCTGCAGCGCCTCGGCCAGCGCGATGCCCGCGCCCCCCGCACCACTTGAAGACGAGGTTGAGCCACTCGGAGACCAGACTGGTCCACAGCACGGCGACGCCCACGCGGCGGGAGGCGTAGTAGGCCGCGGGGAAGTAGAGCAGGAACAGGTTCTTGGGGCTTGGGG